CAAAATCACAGCCGGCAATCGCATGGCCACCAAATATTTGACGTAATTTGAAAGAGGGTTAAACCTTCTGAGTACGACGTTATCTTTAAGTTTTTTACAAAAGCAGACATGTTTGTCTACTTTTGGAAATGATGTGCTCACATAAACTAATAATTTAATAATCTGGAGGTTTTGAGCCTACCTCGATCTGTCTTCTCTTACTCTAGCAAGCTTTCAATCATCGTGGATGGGAGCTCTATACGTTCTGTTCTGCCACAATTGTCCTGATTGAGGTTAATAGATTCTTTGTCTCATAACAACGTATTTTTTTACATTTCGGGGGCTCTGCCGACAGAATTATACTATTTTCCTCAGCAATCATTAAGTACTGGTAATGTTTTTTACTTGTTCCTATTCAACTTTTTAAAGAAATCTAAATGAATTGTTTCCAAACGAGCACCTACTGTAGCTTTCTTTCATAATGAGTGAAATTTTGTTGCCATGAACGGGCATTCAAGAAGTACTATTCTCAAGAAAATATTAATGGTTTTAATTTGTTTGTTTAGGTGATGTATTTCATCATGGTCATTCGTTCATTGAAATTCAATCCATATTTCGAATTTCCGCAAATAATATGCGATATCGGTTGTTGACTGAGTAATTTCTGTTTGTGCCTCTGCTATTGCAAGCTTATGTTATCCATCAGTTCTTAATAAGAAGTGCAAGTTCATTTATGACTCACTCCATTTGTAATCTAATCTCCTGACATTACTTCCGGAGTTACTCAAGGGGAGTTCAATAATAGACAAGTACAGGGTGCGGCGCGGGAACTTACTTATTTGAATTGCGCGCCACGTGGCGGCCATTAGTCCTAGGAAGGTGGCGCCATGCGCAATATGGTGCGCGGGCTATGAAGTTTTTCGTCCACTCAGTTCAGTTGCGACCATGCAGTGGTCGAGAGAGGAGCGCGCGTTCGCAGTCTCTGTGTACTTTTCTAGTGGCCGGTCTATCGTTGCAACCACTCGTCTGACAAAATGTATTGAACAGCATGGAGGTCACCTACAAGATGTAATATTCAAGAATTAAACTTGTAAGTAAACCCAACGAAACTTTAAATGTAGCTCTTTGTAAAAAAGAAAGAATTAAAACGCTATCTTTAATACTTTTTACTTTGTGATTTTTTTAAAAGAGTAAGTTCCCACGCCGCACCCTGTATAATGTATGTAGCTGTGATGAGGTCAGCTACCACCAGCGACGACCTCCTCACCTCATATTTGTTGCAGTCACAGCTCTTATCTACACGGTATGTTACTGAACTGTGATGCTATAGACGACGTACACACCCTATCTGGAAGGTATGGAAATACCATAGAATATCTATGGTATGTTTGGAAAGGCGTAAGTTATTTGAGAGGCCTAAATAGCATCACGACGATACATAGTTCATTAACCAGTTTACCGTGTGTGAACAGTTCATGGATTATATTGATATTGTGTTCTGTAAGTATGTATGTCCAATATTTGGACGTTGCATTCGGTATCTGGCAACTGTTTCTAGTATCTAAACTCTGAATAAATTGAAAGCAGTAATATGATTATCTGATTGCTACGTGCTGCTTCTAGATGCTGTATACTTTATTTTTTGATCTATGCAGTATGTGCAAATTCTGTAATGTAAGTATGGACGCTATATACAGCATTTACATGCTGTAGCATTCATCTTGGTACAGCATTTACATGCTGTAGCATTCAGGATTGGGAAGCTGTATATGGATCATAGACATTGCATTCATCAATTGGAGGGTTTCGAGACGTTTTGAACGGTATATGTTGTTTTAAACTCTCCATAAAGTAGTTACAAGTTTTATACTGTATCTGAGAATCGTGCACCGCATCTGGAGGCTGTCTGCGTTACTTGTGCACTGTAACCAGTATGTACACTCAGTGTACCCGGAAAGGAACACTGACTATACCGGAACGGAATGTCCGGACCGTATCGTAACTAGACTGTGCATGCTTGCGTCAAGAATGAAATCAGTTTGATTGCGTCTCAGAGCGCGCGTGGCATATGAATAAAACGGACTCTTTACAGCGGCTCTGCAATGGAGCTCTCGGATATTTTATAATACGCTGGGTTTAGAGCGTCAGTTGAGGAGTGTGAGAAACTCACAGTTTTATTAGATGAGTTACTCGTTGCGTGGAGTTGAGCTCAGTTTATGGTGCTTTAATGATGCATAATAGCCTGTGTTGTTTGAACTACGACGACAGCAATCGGCCATCGTACGAAAATTTGGCCCTCAGGTCCGGACTAGCGCCAGCCGCGCATGAAATGCGCAAGCGCGTCTATCTGCGGAACCGCTACTCTACTGATGATCCAAGCTAAACTCCGGTTTTATTGATTCTATTTTCCGGTATTCACCTCAACTTGTGCGATAAGTGCAGCATCTTGAGTGCTCGTTGCCAGAGCGGAAATGTATACCACAACATGAAACCTGTTGTACCATTTTTGTGCGTTAGCATTGTGTTTTCAATGAGATCTCAAGCGACGGCTGCAGTCGATCGCCACTATAAGTGCTTATTAAACACCTCAACAGAGAAAATATTTCAATTATGCGTCTTCTGAGTGAAATTTGTCTAACCTTGCATTTTCATCTTTCGTAATATAAGAATTTCTTACAGAAGTGTCAAGATTCTACGTTTTCTTGATAAATATGTGGTTTATTCTTATACGAGTTATTCAACATGAATTTGCAGGTACATTAACTGTCGTAACTGCTATTCGTATCTATAGGACTTGGTAACATCATAAGAGCTGTCGCCTGTAGTCATAAGGTTATTCCTGGCCACCACTGTGCTCATCTTGAGGTTCAGACCATCTTCTTATTATTAAATATGATTGTGACGTGTTTGTTGAACATTTACTAGATGTGCTCGGAAACTAGGAAAAAATTTTGCCGGGCTCCGTCCACGGCCACGTATAGTGCGCCGCTTCTCTCGTCTCCGCCGCGGCAAAAATCAATGTAATTACAAGTCTATTTGTGGCCCAGGCTCGCCTCTGACTTCGACTCAGAATTTTCTGTAACCCCTGTATATCTTATGATTTTCGCGTTATTTTTTCTCAATTAGTGTCTTGAATATTCGATAAAAGTACAAAAGTAAACAGTAAATTTTATTTTAAAAATTTGTTTCCATATTTTAACGATTTTATCTTTATTTTGACTGGCTACAATCTTACTTGCTTAGAAATAATCCAATACAAAACGTAACTCTTAGCGCAATTATATACGTTCCCTCTGACTGTAGAACCACGAGCGCATTCAAGACATCGATTACCTTATTATAGTGTGTGGTCAGCTCGCGGCATCAAGCAGACTTATCTCCTCGAGCCGCTGTATCCCAAGCAAACGTTCAAACGCTGAGAACAGACTGAAGTTGTGGGCAGTGAGTATTATGAGTATTATGAGGTAATTGAAACAGACGAGTCATAACGCCACCGCAACGTCGGTGAATGCGCGTCTTGACTCGCAATTAACTTACGGTCCGTTGAAGGCACGGCCGGCGCTGCCGGCTCTAATTGCTGCCATGAATTGCCCCGAAGTTTATTGGTTCTTTCATCCAATTTGTGATACAAACAAATGAACGATGTGAACGCTTTGCGTCTTGCTGGATTTTTTTTGTGATCAAATAAATTTCAGATTATATGTTCCAGACGTTGATGGTAGAAAAGTTAGTTTTCTGTTAGACGTTGGATTTCCCGATAAATTTATTTTTTAATTAACTATGAAATCAAGGCGTTATTTATAACTAGCCATTATTTAAGACACTTTTAATTTTGTCATTCCATATTTTCCTAATTAAAGTTTGAGGGTCTTTTTAGCGCATTTTCTCATTTATGGAAAAAAGCGCTGTTGTGCTCGTCATGTCCGTCGGTCCGTCCGTCCGTCTGTCCGTGACTTCACGTTTTCGTCGACGAGAAAATGCGCTCTCTGTGTCACTCACTGCAGTGAGTACTGAGTTATATTTTCTTAATCACACTGTTCATGGATGATTACAATTTTTTGTGTTTTGTGTCGATTTAACGCCCAAAATTGAAACAATATTCATTATTTTTGTCTCAGCCGTCATAATTTTTTTCCATTTTTTCTTTATTTATTAATTTATGTGGTATATTGTTTACGTACGAATGATGCACTCCTTTTAATTACAGCGTCAATTTATTGTTTGCTGTTATTAAAGTTTGTTGAAGCGCCGATTGATGATCACCTTTCTTTTTAATTCTTCAATCTTACTTTGTTTTATTCTTAAATTTCTGTATTCTGAAAGCGTACGTATAGTTCGTGACGCGGTGCAGTCACGCACGTCTTGTACATCTTGCTTGATTTATTAAGCAGACGCGGGCGGCCAGTGGATCAATTTCCGTTTAGATTTTCTCAATAAACAAAGAGAGATTGTAGTGCTTTGGTTTGACGAGGTCTGAGCTTCCCACGACGTTCATCATTTATTTCTCTTAATCTCACATTATTCAACTTTCAACTGCCACTTCTGGGTCCTCCATTCCCCATACGATCCTCAGGCGCTATTTTAGCACGAAAAGCGGAATAGGTTACGGCAAGCACGACCTAGTCTCACTGGGATTCATATACTGGAATTCGTGAATGAGCCAAAAGCCGACCTACTAACCCTGCACGAAACAATTGCAGGCGCTTTGAGTGACACGTTGTAAGATTTTTTTTCATTTATATGCGAACTATTCCTTCATCAATCTGATAACTTTTTATAGGCATTTGAGGCTTAGACCTTACGCAATAATCATCCTTCTATCGCTCTTCTTTTTTATTCTTTTTAATGAATGGGTGGGAAATGTGAATAGAGAATTAATTATAAATCACTTGTTTCACGAAATAATTTTGTTGAATTAGACCGAAATTACTGAGATATTTTTTGAATGGTCTTTGAATTTTTAAAATATATCTACCAAGAAAAAGGCTACAGTTTTGTACTCACTTATATTTACTTTTCAGATGGGAAAAACGCTCGGAAAAAATGTTCTATGCAAAGTAAATTTAATCTGAAACCGTTCTTAGCGAAACCTTAATAAGCGAGGGCGCAGCTCTGTGGGCGCGTTCCGCGAATATTTGTCTGCGAGTGACGAAGCTTTGATGTGAATTGGAAAGTGGAACACTGACCACAAGAACGCTTAGTGTTGAATTCAAGTGAAAAATTATTACTATTTGAGAAATCTTTCATCGTAAGGTAGTTTTGAAGAAGATACATCACAGATTTTTTGTGACGATCTTTGCTGCAAAAAATTTGTTATCAGAGCACGGTTAATGTAGAATGTTGTTTGACATCCGCGGGACGCGAGCCCTAGTCCAGTAGTGGCGAGTTCGATATGAGCTCGGGCTTCTCTTCTTTGAAAAGCACTTCATCATCTGTGAACGTGGTGGTGGATGCGCCTATGGGAGTGATGGGGGTTAGGTTTGAGGCTGCTTATCCTCACGAGGCGTCCCTACAGCTAAGGAACAACTTGCATTCGTCGTCAGCTTCGGCAGAAGGAACAACAATCGTTTCGTCGTCACCCGAACCCTCGTCGCGCTCGCCGTCGTTGAGGTCTGACAGCGGCGGCAACTCGTCGCCTGACCGTCACGCGGACGAGAGCCATTCGGGATCACCTGCGCCTACTGATCCTGCAAGATCCCCCGAATGCAGGGCTCCATCCTCTGATATTTCCATCAGTCCAAGGGATCTGATGAGCGCCAAAACAGAGACTGGCCCCACCACTGGGTTTTACACCTCCTCACCTATTCATGTGCACACCAGCGTTCCTCCGATGACTGCCACCACATCGCCTCCTCCGTTCCAACCCATCTATCCGCTGCCACTCAGAACAGGGGGTGGATTGTCACCTCATCAGACCCAATATCCATCTGCCATGCCTATCACTCCGACGACCACTCCTCCTGTCACCGACACTTCCCTCATGACTCATTCACCGATCACAAATATGCTGCCCTCCTACATGTCACATATGATGATGAATACCTCCTACCACGGAATAGCACCCCATACCTGGCATCCCCACGTATACGGCCCACCGGTAAAGACCCCAACGTCCCACAGCATCGCTGATATTTTGGGGTACCGGAAAGAAAACCCAAGACTAGATTACCTACCGGACTCGCATCCTCCCCGGCTCGTCTCTGAGGACGAGCCGCTAAACCTCACCGTCAAATCTTCTGTTGATTACGGCAGCTCGCCAAATAAAGGTGAGTTAACTTGTTGCCCATCGTGTTGTTCTTTTTGTTGTCAGGTGACATAATAAAGGTGAGTGAACTTTTGCCCATCGCGTTGTTCTTTTAGTTGTCAGGTGACATAATAAAGGGAGTGAACTTACTTGTTGCCCATACGGGCACCAAAAATTTGGCCTCTTTGAAAGCCAAAAAGGTTTGCTATTTATAGTTTATGGGTTAGGTTATTGACAGAAATATCGACTAAGAGTATCTTTGCAAAGATAAATTATATCATATAGCAGCAACAATAAACAATAAAACATGAAGATATGTAACATTTTCATTGTTTATAACATGTTCAAAAAATAAGATATCAAAATGTCAGGTGTTTCCTTTATTTGGTCCAACTCCTGTACTTTAGTTATTCATGCAGCTAAGAATGTATAAACCATAATTTTAAGAATGCGTTTTATGAAGATACCGGAGTGAAGGTAGGGTACTTGACTATGGCATATCTAAGCATGTCAATAATCATTCCCACCAGGAATCTGTTCCATGGACAGCCTGTTTGCTTTGATTAGGTGAGGACATATGAAAACTCCGGTCACTTAGCTTATAGAGTGAGAATTTTAAAACTCTTGACTGGAATCTAATTGAATTTTTTCTTGGTACTAATAATGATTGGTCATCCAATTAATCAAAATACCAGAATGAGCTTCTCAAGGCAATCATGTTTTCTTCTATTCATCGTATAAGGAGTTCAGATTTTCGCTGATTCGAAATTTTTATGAGGCCATCAGGTCTCTTTCTGTCCTTTGTTAGTCATATTAACTATTGTGCAACATCCATTTGAGTTGTTTGTGTTCGGTTCTAGTAATACTAGACAACTTTATGTTGTAACTAAGATATTGTAATAACAATAGTAACCAATAATTCAGGAATGAATCAATTCAGTTGATGACTGAAATCAAAATTTTGTTAATAAAAAATTATTCCAGAAACTAAAACATATATTTTGCGACTTAATGGATCCTAAGGAACAAAAATGAACATTTTGCCACTAATAGATGCAATACTCTCAGAAAACACGAAAAGCTGTTAAAATTATTGAAGTTATTAAAATTCTTAAAGTTATTAAAGTTATTAAAATTCTTTTAATAACAGAAATCATCATTTTACAACGAAAAGGTGTCTAATGATAACAGAGAGCATTATTTGACACCCATAAATGATATTCTCTACAGCTCCTCGATGCTCAAAGAGTGTTAGCTATTATATCGACTGCAAATTATATTTTTTAGGAGTTCTTAATTCGAGTTTACTTAGTTCAATTCAATTTTTTTTTTGTTTAACTTTTTTACAGTATAATGAAAATAAATTGTTAGACTTGTTGCCAGTTGTTGACTGCGCTGTGTGATGAAATTTATAATTAATCTTAAACGAACAAATATTATTTGTGGCTTAACACGAAATATTCCAGGTCGGAAAGAAGCGTTTCTCATTAATGTTATTGTAAAAGTATTGTTAACTTCGTATTACGAGAAATCACGAGTCAACGTTAAAAAAAATAACCCTGAGGCCTCATTTCGTATCTCTGGCATCTAATCATCGAGTAGCTGGGAACACAATGAAACAACTCTCACCCCGTTCATTTTATGGCCAATAACTTGTAGGAGTTAATGTCATTTTTGGAGGACTCAATCTTCTTTTATCAAGCGACTGCTCCAAAGCCAGCCCGGATTCTTCAAGCTTTCGAGGCCTAGCAATTAATCGCGGAAACCGAGGTAGCTAATTCATAACCTAGTAAGCGTCTTAACAATATAATTATAGAGCTCTAATTAAAAGAGCATGGCTGGCACTTCAATAAGGCCGGTAATCGCGCCCTAATAACTAGGCTGCGACGCCGCAGAAACGCACAAAAAATCAAGACGGCTGGAAATTTTTAGTTGGATTGTTGCTCCTTGGAGGAAGACCGCCTCGCTGCTTGCCTTCAGCTTTGGCCGCCTGCGGCTTACTGGTGGTACAAGAGTGAAGAACTCTTAATTGTTGAGTCTTTCGTTAAATTCATGACGTTTAAATTTGAAAAAAAAACGATTAATTAATTTTGGGTCGATCGTACTTTCGTCTGAACTTAGAGAAGTCGCTTGTACAGTTAGTGGCGCAATTATTCGTACAGCCTAAGATTTGATTGAACTAAGCAGTATATAATAGGGAAAATAATACAACAACTTCAGAACAAAATTGAATTTCAAAACGTTTTAATTTCCCGACACCTTCAGACACAAATATTCGTACAGTTGTAAAATACTAACAACTTCCATTTTATTATCAATGGCAGGTACTTTCATCTAGATAATCTCGAGCAGTCTCTTCCTATAGTTCTTGATGAGATTCGAAGTAGTATCTGATTTGATATTATCCCATTCAAACTTTCAATTTTTGCCATAAATTATCAATCGGGTTCAAGCCGCGGCTATTTTCTGGTCATGGAAGAACAGTCATATTTGTTTTATTAAAACAAGTGGTCGCAGCTTCCAAATCCCTGTCTTGCTGTAATTAAGATCCATATCGTCATCCATGACCCAAATTCAGAACTGATGTTTGCAGGTTTTCTTTCAAAATCGATATATAAACATTTGAGTTCACTATTCTATCAATTGAAACTAACTTCCCGGTGCCACTTCAAGAGAAAAAAAAAACAATATACATCATTGACACACCCCAATGCTTGACTGTTGGGATTGTGTTCTTCGGAAGGAAAGATGTGGCAATGTCTTTCAACACCACTCTTTGGTTCATGTTTATTTAACGACACAGTTTTCTCCTTTTCTCCAAGTGTAGGAATAATTGTGTCTGTTTATATGGTGTTGTGTAATTTTTGCATTTTTTGTTACAACGTTTTGAAATTACATTTAGTTCTGAAAATGTAGTGTTATTTTCCAAATTATATACTGCTTAGTTCAATAAAATCTTAAGGTCACACATTCTTTAATTTTCGAGTTTTTCAAGAAAACATTGAAAAGAAGGAGGTGTACGAATAATTTCGTCGCTAACTGTAGCCTCACGAGCCTGAATTGGTCGCCATTAAAAATGGTCACTCACAGTTTCACTCTCATCGTTTCCTAATGTCATTTTTAGAAAAATGCCGTATAAACTGGAATATTCATTGAAATAAACTATGTGCTGTAGGTACTTGGTCAAGCAAATTTCCTCTATAGTAGGTAATCTAGTTGGGTCGTGATCTCCTAAAATGTGTTTGTAGATTCTTGCGTGACATTACGGTAGCTTAAAAACTAGGTTTTCTTCAAAAGTTTAAATCACACACAAGCTCTCTTTGAAATTCATGCTGCTGATTGAACGGAAAACTCAAATTTTATGTTTGATTTATTGCGTAGCTGCTTTATTATTTTACCAACTTCATGAGCTTCAAGTGTCCAATTTGAGCGTAAATAATTACGAAAATATTAATCCTATTGTTTCTTGAGGCTTTAGCGCGGAAAACTTTTCGATGCTTTAGAAGTTTTTACTAGTTTTTTCATGTAATTCGCAAAGAACTTGAACGGCTGGTAAAGGGGGTTGTTAGAAAGAGTTTATACTCATACATATTTAATAAAAGTTAAAAGTTTGATGAATATAATTCCGGAAAAGGCCGATTGGATCTCGTAGAACATTCCCATTTCCCTTGAATTAATCAACATAATTTCTTTATTAAAGAGTTCCATGAGTAAATAAAGACGTATAGAAGATAAAAACATTATGTGGTGTAGAATTGGATTTTTGTACGGATTGATGGCATACGGATTGTTTCCTATCGCACTTGATAAATTATATAATATAAAATTCAAATTGCTCAATTCTTGATTGTGTTCCATCATCATTTTGATAAATCCCATGTTTATCCCATGTATTAATTTATTAATTTAAACTGTTCGAATTTTTACTTTTCCGTCACACGGCTTTTATAATTGATACGTTAAGAATCGTGTAATGTGTTTAAAAGCATCATCAGTTGCCCGTTAATGACCAATGATAATACGCCTCCAGCTCCAATGTCTATTGTGTGCGTCTTTAGAGGCCTTTGTCCGTACAGGCGGCCACCGATGATTCACCCGTAATTCGAGCCTGATAAGGCAGACGATGTAGCCATTGGTGCCGTGTCAGTCTGGGCCTGACCGTGGGTAGCCGTAAACCAGTTTAAATAGCAGTGTCGAGCGCACATTAACACATCTCCTGCCGAGATTTTATGGCTCCAACGGCGTATAAAAGGTGTCCTTTAGAGCGGGGGGCTCACGACGTCCGTGGGGGAGTGCGTTATAGAGGAGTGGGGGGAGGTGAAGTGTATCCTGTAGAGGGAGAAGCAGTTCTTGCTGCGAGGTTTGCTATGTATATACTGGAACACTTGCTTCATGAATATAATGGTAGAACGGAGACATAGAGAATAAAGTAGGATGAGTGAACAACGAGGTAATGATATCCGATTTTAAGAATGTGAATATTTTTTTCTTTCACAAATAAAAATTTTTTAGCAAAATAAATAGTTTTCAAGGTAAATATTTTTTAAAATAAATTATTTTTAAGATGTTTTGATCCTAAAAGTAACTTCAGGCAGGTTCAGATATTTTCTAAGCACAGTTATCGTTTCAATGTTTTCATGGGAATTTGGCCATTTTACCTGTAATTTCAGCTGGTAAATTGGAAATTCATTTTGAGATATCTTTTATAATTTGGCGACACACAATCAGCAATATATTGTATACAGGTAATAAAATTTTTATACTTAGTTTGATTTTTTTATTTGAGGATATTCTTAGATTCTAGAGTAGATGAAATAGATGGATTGTTCTGCATATGATGAAATAATTACAATTAAATCAATTAGTTTGTGTTAAATTATCTTCTGAAAGCAGGTCCTCTCAATTAAGTTGAAGTTGCACTGTTACGGTTGTTGTTGTACAAATTTCGTGAGCAATTGACGGCTCCTCGAGTTTATGCGTGACGCGTTAATTAGTACTTGAATAACTTATAAATTTAAGCATGATGACCAAGTTGTGCTACAATAATGTCTAGATTTATGTTATATTCACTATTAAACTTTAAATTTGTTCCACTGTAGCGCATTTCTAAGTATATTGGTAAGCGCTAAGCTAATAGTTAAACGCTTTGCTTTTAGTTAAGCGCTAAGCTCATATTTAAGCGCTAAGCTTATTATTCAGAGCTAAGCTTATAGTTAAGCGCTAAGCTTATAGTTAAGCGCTAAGTGTGTTGCTAATCTTATTGTAATGCGTAGAGTTCATTAATTGTTAAGATTCAAGCTTATAGTTCAACGCTGTGTTCATTATTAGCACGAAGTAGTCGCATAAAAGCACGCATATCTGACTCAGGTTATTTACCTACAGCGAAACACGTCGCCTGAAGTGGTGTACTATAATAATATCAATTTTGCATCTGCCTCGTCCGTAATGTTGGTCTGAACCAGTTTCGGCTTGAGCAGGTATACGAGTATGGGGTCGCGCGGTTGAGTGGTCGCTTCAGTAATTTGGCTTCAAGATAAACTTTTTCTTCGAAGTGGAGAGTGATGACAGTCAGAGCGGCTGATCGGTATCGTCCCATACCATACGACAGCAAAAACTGCTGCTTGTATCAGCTGCTCGCCGAACTCTTCAGCCGTCTGAATATGACGTACTAAATTCTAGGTCAACGTGCGACTTATTCAATAACGAAATTTAAAATACTTATGAAACTTTGTTAACCGCCAATTATGGTAGGAATAATATTGGCATATTTTCGAATCAGAATAAATTGGAGACCCTGAATAAATTTGTGGAATAAATTAGATCCAAATTCATATTAGTACCAGCATGACAAATTCTTTGTAAGACTATATTTACAAATAGTTTTGTTGTCAACTGCTGTATCCACGCGCCTGTTGTTTATTACTTAACACGAGAAACGTGCTGGGAGACGCCCGGGGTCACACTTTNGTCTGCCTGTATTCAATCGTCGCTACGACGCAGTCCGTGATACTACGCAGCTCTTCTTGACTGCTTTGCATCACATATACAGTCGTACGATCAAGTGAGTTTTTAGGCACATACACCTGCAATTATCATTTGGTAATTGTAAGGCTTTAATTTAGGTCGTTGAGAATATGAGTATTACACGCAGAACATTGAGACTACTCACTGAATCACCTTTGGTTTTTCCGTACATTTTAAGGTACTTGTGCGCTAATTCGATTATTTATTTCAATTTCTTTCAAAAATTTGTTC